TTTATATTGTTACTTTAATTCTTTGTTGTAACATTTGAATTGAGTAAGATAACGCAATTGTGTGATATAATGTTTCGAAGGAGAAAAATAAATTAAATAATTACTACTACTTTGATTGGAAAAGGAAGAGATTTAACTGGTGCCAATTGTTGATATCAAGTCTCTTATATAAATGATCTCTTAAGCAACTAGCGCCAAGTTAAATTCTACCAAATTAAAACACATATGATATTGTATCTTTATTATTTGCTTAATTCTCTAATGGTACATAAGTATCAGTAAACTTAGCGCTAATTGTTGATATTAAATCTTTTATATGTACACAATATATATCATTAGATTTAAATAAATAATGAAAATAATAAATCTGAGTTTTATTTTTTTAATTTGATACAATAAAGATACAATAGTACCACTTGGGTTTTTATAATTTAATTCCTCTATTAAATGAATAATCATATGTTTTATAGAATGCAAATTATTAATAGAAATGAGATAAATATTGGATTGGGGAAAAAGTTTCGTCGTATTTTTTTATTTAAAATTGTATATACAATATCTTCGTCAAAAATGAATGAAATTTAAATTAAAAAAAAAAAGCTTTTAAAGCTTGAAATCTCTACTTTCGAAAAGTTACTATATTTTTTGAGTTTTTGTGAGTTTGATAATTTTTATATTTAAAAAACTACGAGCTGAAAAAAATATCACCTATCGTGAAAGAAATTTGAAGATTTCCCTACAAAATCATTTTTTAAAAATGTTCCTATGATTTTTTGTTCCTGAGTTATTCGCGAGTTAAGTAAAGGAGCATTTTGACTTTGATTGCTCATAACTTCGATAAAAATCATAATACCGCAATTTAAAAAACAAATTCTTAAAGCTGAAACTGTGCTCTAGCGAATGATATAATTGTAACAAAACTTTCGCAACAAATAAAAAACTTTTGCAAAGAATTTTTTTTAATACAAAGAAACTTTTTCCCCAACTTAATATAATGAAATAAATAAATAAATAAATAATTTTATGAAACATTCAAAAATTTATAATCCTTATTTTTTTAAAAAACAAAGACACTCTTTAGTGTAGATTACGCTTTTTACATTTCTTCCTCTTTTTTAACAAAAGCAAAAATTTTGTTTTCTTTCTATAAAATAGTTTTTATATGAAACAGTTTTTCAAATTACGTAATATGAGATTTGATTGTTATTGATAATCTAGTGAATATAGCAGTAAGCAACTACTGCGTTATGCAATAAATGGTTATAAAGTCACGCGACAGATATCGATCGATTAATATCGTAATTCATCTTAATTCTATAATGTAGCAATTTATGATAATATCTGTAATATCATACACGCAAGTCTTATTTATACTCTTTCACGATTTTACAGACAGTACAGTTTACTGCTTCAAGACTATTGCATATATACACTTAACTTTTTCAAAACATGATAATAATAAGAAGTATTTAAATTAATTAAAACACAAAATAATACACTTTTTTATTACTATTTGTCTTATCAATTAAGAAATTGCAAATCTTCATTCTGTATTTAATTATATTCTTTACATATATAATATTCCTTTTTTTTATTATAATAATAAATAAATTGTTTTTTCATCGCACAGGTTCCCGCGAGAACAACAGACATTGCCAAATCATTTCTACTTCACAGACTTCGAGAGGCATACCGCTGAAATCGCATCTTTTCATCTGGACAGGTAATATTCAACACTTTATTATTTATAAATATACGTTTAGAATACATATATCTTTCTCTACTATCTATCTATCTAACTCTACAAAAAAAATATTGTTTGAAAAAAATAAAGTTAGATAAATAAATATTGGGATAAAATTAGGAAAACTATATAATATTTCAATTAAAAAATTCAGAGATACATCAAGAAATACATACAATTGTACATAATAAATACATAATAAATATAATTATTCATTTAAAATAAATTAGTAAATTAAATCCAATAGTAATAAGCAAGAAATTATATGAAATTGAATAAATTTATCAAGTTGATTAAAACATTTCTTTGCATTTTTTTACTATTTCTTAAATATATAAGGTATCCCCGAAAAGTCTCTCATGAGCATGCAGATCATATAAAAAAATACATACCCCTTACCTTTGTCTAAAAAAAATAATATATTCAAAGCTCATTGAAACTGGAGAAAGACACTTCGGTGCAATTCCTTGTAAAAATTAAAATGTATATACTTATGTGAACTTTTTAGCAACCAATTTTTCAAAAAATATTTCTCTCGATATGCATTAAGTTAAGGTCCTTTTGTACCTCCGTTTGTATCTTAAGAGGTTCAAAATTATAAATAGTTGAAAAAAATATTAGCACCCCATTTTGAGATATTTTAAATCTGTAAATGAGTGTTTTGGGATTGTTTGTATCCATTCGTACTACCATCAGTTTTATTCGTATCCTTAAAAGAGCGAAATTTTAAAATAGAGTAAATTTCGCCATTTTTGAAAATATTTTAATTCTGTAAACACCCTGCTTAAAGAACTTAATAAAAATAAAAAACAATAGAAATTTGTAGAAATTTAATTTATAGAAATTCTATCTAAATATCTAAATATTTATAGAAATTCTATCTATCATATCAATCGGAAAACAAATATCACAAAAATGTAAACTATTATCGTTTTATATTGAATCTTATTTAAACGATAGAATATCAATCTGAATACATAAGATTCTCTCTACGATCCTATCACATTATCTAATTTAATACAAAATAAATGATAGGATGTTTATATGAATCTATAGTTTGATAAGTAACGATAAAACTCTCATATTGAGATAGAGCGGATTAAACTAAGTCCAACAAGAATCCTCTACTATTTTACAATTTTCGCGATTAATTAACAAGGTGTTATTTACTAAAAATCGCTGAATATTAATTTTTAATAATTTTTTATTCAAATACTATCAACTTTACAGAAAAACAAGTAACAAAAATTGTTTATTTTCTTTTCATAGAGTTCTGAGAATTTTTTCAGAATTTTTTAGTACCGTATTTTCTCACGTTGGTAAAAATAATTGCTAATAAGAAAATGCAGTACTAAAAAATTTTGAAAAAATTCTTAGAACTCTAAGAAAATTGTTTATTTTTTTCTATGAGAATCAGGGTTATCATATTGTTGGCAATACAGGGTCTTAATAATTATTAAAATATTTTCGAATCTACAAGATCTACAAGAGGAAACATTCCTTTATCGTATGATGAAAAAGAAAAACAATCCATTATGTATTTTTATTTTTATTGCAAAAAATTCAGCCACTTTTTAAAGCGAAATCGATGATTTTTATTTGACAAACCGTCATTTCCTCAATTATCAATTTTTTTGCCTGTTCATCCAACTATATGTAGATAAAATTAAATGCTATCAGATTTTTATATTTTAGACCAGGATGGAAGATATCTTACACACCAGTAACGCGCGCACCATTTTGAGGAAAGATACCAGACGTAATATTGTAATTTTTTATTCAAATTTAATAAAAAAAAACTGTAAAAAATTATTTATATATAAATATAGTAAAATAATGTTCCAAAATATAGTAAGACAATGTCCCAAATATATTTTAGACTTTATACTTTGGTCAAAAAATCAATGTTTTCCCTAAAAAAATGGAATTCCCCACTTAAATACAATAGAATTATTTAAATTCTTTTACATAATATGATTCTTCTAATATAATTATTCTGCATATAAAAATATTAAGATAGAAATATAAAAATCTAATAGTTCACAAAGTGTTATATATTTTATACTGGCACATGTTAACAAGGTGTTAAATAACTCATAACTTATTAATTTTTTGATAATCGTATCTTAACACTTTTATGAACAGAATGATGAGATGAATCAAATAGTTTAAAGAACACATAGTTGCTAAAAAAAATATATGCAAAATGAAATAATTTTTTATATAAGCAACTATGTATTTTTTTTACACTATTTGACTATATCGATTTGATTATACTAATTGATTATTATTGATTACATATTATTCTGTCATAAAACTGTTAGAACACAATTATCATAAAATTAATAGTTTACGGATTTTCTAACATTTCATGTCAATATGTGCCAGAATAAAACATCTTGTAAACTATTAATTTTTTATCTATATCTTAATATTTTTATATGCATAATAATTAGAAGAATTATATTATGTAAAAAAATTTAAATACTTCCATTTAAAAAAACAAAGTTGATCTTGAAATCTTCGAAATACTTCCACCACTGGACAAAAATTATTTTGATGACATATAATAGACCCATTCATTATCGTGTAATTTTAATTATATAATTTTTCTTATATATTTTTTCTCTAGATCTTCTAGATTTGAAGATATTTCAGATGGTAATGTTTTTGAGACACTCTGTATTGTCAACAATAGGATATGATAAATTTTCTATAACATCTGCCTTATTAAAACATTTAGAGACATTTTCAGATTAAATTATATATATAATTTTATATAAACATCTTATCATTTATTTTATGTTAAATTGGATAATGTTAGGAATAACATAGAGAATCTTGTGTATTCAGATAGATATTTTATCGTTTAAATATTAGGTGTACAACTTCGCTTCCGCCGTTTTCCTATAGATGGCTTTAGCGGTAAGTGATGGTCGAAATACATAGATCATAGACGTCATACAATAAACTTGGGCATCTGTCAACATAACCCCATAGAAACATTAGTCGATTTGTGTCTGCATCATAAAGTTATTCTCGATTGAAAATGTCAGTTTACGAGCCAAATTCTCATCATTTGCGGGAGGTTTTAATTTTTTGCTTCAATATGAAGAAATCTGCGGCTGAGGCTCATCGAATGCTCTCAAATACTTATGATGAGGCCGCTATTAGTGAACGAGTCGTGAGTGGTTTCAACGCTTCAAGAACGGTGATTTTGACATCGAAGAGAGAACCACTGGCATAGCGGTGGAAGAGAGAAGGTTTTCGAAGTGAAGGTATTACTTGAGCAAGACTCGTGTCAAAATCAAGAAGAATTGGCATGATCATTGAGAGTGACTCAACAAGCCATTCCAAAACGCCTCAAAGCCATGGGAATGATTCAGAAGCAAGGAAATTGGGTGCCGTACGAATTGAAGCCGAGAGATTGAACGGTGTTTGCTTGTGAACAACTGCTTGAAAGGCAAAGACGGAAGGGACTTCTGCATTGTGACTGGGAACGAAAAATGGGTTCATTACGATAAAACGCAATTGATGCGTTTGAGCCGAGACAAATGGCCGCAATACAACGAGAGACACGATAAAGTGATTTTGCAGCATGACAATGCTCGACTCCATGTTGCGAAAGTGGTCAAGACATACTTGGAAACGTTGAAATGATGTAGATCTTCCTACCCCACCCGCCGTATTCTCCAGACGTTGCTCTCTGCTCTGACTATCACTTGTTTCGATCAATGGCACACGGCCTGGCTGACCAGCACTTCCGGTCTTATGAAGAAGTAAAAATTTGGATCGATTCGTGGATAACCTCAAAAGATGACCAGTTTTTTCGACGCGGAATTCGTACGCTACCCGAAAGATGGGAGAAAGTAGTGGCCAGCGATAGACAATACTTTGAATCATAAATGTATAACCAGTTTTTTACAATAAAGCCTCGAATTTCGGAAAAAAAACGGCGGAAGCAAAGTTGTACTCCTAATAAGATACGATATAAAACAATAGAAACTATAACTTCTTTATCTTATGTGATATTTGTTGTTCACACAAAATGGATATGATATGTTCAGGGTATCATGATACGTTAAATCATAGGATTTCTATCAAATTTCTATAAATTTTTGTTCTTTTTTTATTAAATTTTTTATGCAGGATTCTTTCGATGTTATGAGGAAGCAGATGCCATGGCTGGAGTCCTCGCTCCAATCCTTCTTACCCTAGGGGAGACAAACATTCTCCGCAAGGCTCACTCTACAGTATTTGACCGAAGAGAAGGATAACTGCGCGTGGTGGGAAATTTCCACCACAATAATTATGTCTTCTATCTCGTCGCCCCTCTCACCAGAGAGGAGCACCAGGTGTTCTTCTCCTGCCGCCATTATATCGGCGTTTAACACACCGAGAATAGACAGCTTTTAAGGGAGAGAGTGGTAAATTACTCCTCTTCTGATTGGACGCGGTTATCAAAACTCCATAGAAGAGATTGGAGAAAATTGTCATGTGATCTCCATCATGATTGGACGCGTCAATATGCATTCAGTGAGCGGTTGTAATATTGAACCCATTAAAACTCTATTCATGTGACTAATTTACCACTCTCTCCCTCTGAGGCTCTCTAACCTCAGAGTGTTCATCGCGTCTTATGTAGGAGCAGCTCTCCCTCTAACTAACTGTGAAGAATGAATGTCCCCCCTTATTCCCTTTCGGCTTTCTCTTTCCGCAGTATAACTTACTGACAAAAAGAGGATACCACTCTCCCTTCTCACTCTCAAGCATCACTCGGACCAGAACTGAGAGCGAGAGATCTTATCTCATTTGCATTGTCAATAGCAAGGAAAGGCCGTTAATTTTAATCAACTTTTTTGGATGTGGAATACTCACCAAAATATGTGCTGCAGTAAAGCTACAGGACCTTGCTATTCAGTCATTCTCGAAAAAATAGCGATAAAATATTTCCGAATAGAAATTTTGGTCAGGCTCTA